GCATGTTCCTGAAGCACAAGTGGCTCCTGACCGCAACATACAATTCGACTGGCAACATGCATCCAATTCACAATGAAATTCTGAACCGCAATCACATTGTTCTCCGCTCTCTACCACCTTGTTTCCGCAGTTTTCGAGCTCATACAGTTTCTCATGCTCTGGTGGAATTAACAGACATTGTTTCCTACCACTATTCATTAGGGTAGAATAACTATCAAAACTGCAATTGCTAAACTGACTTGTATTGCTCTGTAATGAAGCCATAATGCAAGAATGCTGACTACAAGTGCAGTATTTCTCATCATGTTGCATGCCAAGGTTATGGCCCAACTGATGAGCAAAAGTTATAGTGAATGAGAACAAACTAGAAGTAATAAATGCCTCGACAGCAGATGCCCAAATGGGATCACACACTGTTCCCACAAATGATAATCCAAGCTTATCTCCAAAATGCTTATATACAAATAAGTGACCAACATCATGCCTTAGATGGTGGATGAACGTCGTTTTTCTCCAAGTATTAAAAACATCAAGCAGTTCATCTATACTTTTAGCAATTGCCATGAGGTTCTTTTGTGACCATATTTCCAGTCCAACTAGGACTACATGAATCCCAAGAGGCTTATAGAGTGAATCCGCAATATGGACAATATCCAGTACTTCTCTAGCAGCAAGACTTTCATTTCTGCCAGTATGGACAAACAGCTCATGTTCCACTACAACTGCAACCTTCACATATCTGGCATGTGTCTGCCAGAGTGCTCCCTGGGAACTTTTGAGCTCGACATTCTCTGGGATCTGGATCGTGGCCTCCTGGAGATTTTGATCTCCCTTAGTGAGCCCGCACCTCATGCGGACGGCGCCTTCCTTTTCTTCCAGCCGATAAACCACATGTTGAAAGTTCGTGGGTGCCTGGACCGGCTCGATTTCGTACGTCTTGTTTTCCACCTGTAGGAGGCCCCTAAGGCCTCCTGAGCATGTGCTGACCGCGACCAGAGAGGAGGGCTGGCCTTGCACAAACCCGTGGTAGAAGCAATCGTCCCTGACGAAAGGGTAGTCCGCCTGGAGGTCTCCCTCCTTGCCGTAGGTGAACACCGGGAAGTGTTGAGGCACGAAGCCTCTCTTCTGCCGGAGGTGCACCACGCGGCCCTTCCCCTGCAGCTCCACGAGGTACGTGAGGTCTTGGGGCTCCCGCCCGCGACGCGGCGCCATCCTCCTCGGGATGATCACCTCGTAGGAGACGTATCGGAAGCCCTGAGGCGGCGCCTGGCTCGAGGCCTGGCTCAGGAAGACGCCCGAGGCCAGCAGCAGCCACGCCATCCCCCCGCCGGCGCCTCCCGGCCCCATATCTCCCCTCGCGCGCGGGCCGGGGGGCGGCCGGAGGGCCTCGCCTCACGCGGGAAGGCGGCAGCCAGGCAGGGAGTGGGAAGAAGAAGGACGAGGCTCCTCCGCTGCTGCCGCCGACGCCACCGGCGCCACCGCTGCCCTGCGGGGAGGAGAGCAGCCATCGGTGGTGTCCTCCGCCCGGCGCTCCAGCAACCGTGGAACTGAGCGGCCCGAGGGGAGGGGCGAGCGCGGGAGCCGCGGCGGCGGGGCCGGGAAAACGACGCCGTTCCAGAACAAAACAGTGGCTTACCTGGCTTTTCCCCTCCAGGCGGGGCGCTCGGCCTGATTTTGCGGTCTCGCCGCCACCCTTCTCCCGCCGCTGGTCGGCCGCCGCGCCGCTCTCCCTCGAGGCTCCCCTGAGAGGAATTCAGCAGGTGCTTTTTGTCCCACGCGCGCTGCTTTCCCGTGCCAAGAACAAGCTCCCCGCGCCTCGTTTCTCCGCCTTCTCCTCAGGGGTTTATTCGGAGGGTGTGGGCGCGAAAAATAGCCAAAGCCTCTCTGTGGCGCCTGCATGAACCGAGAGGGCGCCGAAGCACACGGAGCCGACGGCCGGTGGGTCCAAGAAGGCGGTGCAACCCACGAGGGCGCCTCTGGCCCTTTCCTCTAACAGCGTCGTCGCCTCTGAGGAGGAGGAGGAGCCGTGATTTTGCCGCCAATGGAAGCGTGTAATCCGCCGGGGTCCAAACGGCTCCCAAGGCGGCGGGCATGACAGATTTAAGCTCCTTGGTGGTGGGCGGCATTCGGCCCTTAAGAAACGGTTAGCGAAAGGAACCTCGCCTGGCCGCCCCGAAGCCTCCCGCCGGCGACAAGTGTGCAGGCGCCCTTCCCTGAGGGAAGCATCTTGGACGGCTAGAGCAACGCCGTCGCCTTCGAGGTCGGGGAGCCTCTCGCTCCTCGCTTACCTCTCTCGACGGCGCGGCGGGCGACAAGGTGTGAGGGAAAGGATGCTTGCGTGAGAGAAGCGGCTGGAAGTGCCCCTGAACCACTTGCGCGCTCTCTACCCATCTACCTCTCGGTGTTATCGTGAGTCTAAAAAGGAGAGAGGGACAGAGAGGATGTAGAGTTAAATATTTCAGTTGGGGGGTACGATCATAAGAATAGCCTGCAGGCATGGGGGATCCTGGGACTCTCAACTGTTGTTTCATTGCAGCCCCCATCTTCCTTGATCAGTGTTTGCATTGGCACGGAGTAATGGGAATTGCAGTCCAGCAAGATCTGGAGGGCAACAGGTTCCTCATTCCCTCCTCACAAGGCTCACACCTCCCTATTAACAGTCTATGAAAGTTAAGATTTTGATAATCTCTGAAACGGAACAATTCAGGAAAATTAGGAGAAGATACAGTCAGATCTACCCACTTTCTTATTCCAGAATATGGTGCAACTATTTTTTTCTGATCATTTATAGCCATTTAAACTGTGCTCTTCTCTACATCCATGTGAGATATGCTGAACACTTAACTTTGAAACACTCCATATGCCACAATAAAATGTGTTAGTCTTTAAGATGCCAAAACCCCTCTTCATTGCTTTTGCTAACACAGCTACTGCTCTGGCAATTGTTTTAATATGTAATTTTAGCTGCCATATCATATAAAAAAGCACATTGAACACTTTCCAGTTTCTAGCTCAAAAGGCTTTGGTTATTTTCAAAATAAGCTCTGCTTCTTTCCTGACCAGCTGCTTAGCTTCAGTTTCAATCTAAAAGGTGCTCAAATTGCCTGTTTGTTTTCAGAGTTGAGAAAGGACAAGGAGAGAAGGGATTTCCTCCAATGCCACAACCACATTTCTCTTCCCTCTCACCCTCCACCCCACCCACAGACAGCCTGGCATTGTCTCAAATATTTACAATCTGATTTTCACCACTCTGTACTTTGGTGTCATCTGCAAGCCTGGCTACCTACTGCTCACCTGATTGTAGATAACTTGGAAAACTAAATAGCACCAGTTCTAATAAGGATCCTTTTGGGGGTGGGGTTTCATTTTTTGTGAAAACTTTCCTGTTCTTCAACATTTTACCAGTCCAGAAGAAAATCTGTCCTCCTGTTCCATGGCTGCCAAGTTTATCCAGAAGTCTGTATGTGGGAATGACTCTTAGGACTTTTTTCTATATATATGACACCTAGCATGTCATGCTTAGTAGTAGCAATAGCAGCAAATTCCAGATAATGTAAAGTTTCAAATGTTACACGTGAACTCACCAATCTCCTTGGATTAAGGTGATGGTACACCTACTTTGGAAGATGGAACCTGTTTTTCCTTCTTTGAAAGCCCACGGGATGTTTAACCAAGGATTGTGGGATGGTTTAGCTGAGATTCTTGCATTGCAGGGGGTTGGACTAGATAACCCTTGTGGTCCCTTCCAACGCTACAATTCTATGATATGCAGCAGGCAGGTAGCAGAAATTTATCCTGACTTTTTGTCTAGTAAAAATTGTCCCACCAGTAAGGTAGTACAGCACATCTAGAGATGTCACCTGCTTTGATCACTGTCTTTGTCCTATTTGCATAGCCAGGCAGCTATCAATACTGTGCCAGTAGAACCAGGGCCGGCAACATTAATTTGGACAACTTAATGTTTGTGGCTTCATTTGACTTAAAAGGAGCTCACCAGTGTAATTCTTCATACTCCATCTTCCTATTACTGTATTTTTCACTCCATAAGACACACCTGACCATAAGACACACCTAGTTTTTAGAGGAAAACAATAAAAAAAATATTCTGAATCACAGCCTCCTCAGGAGGAGAGCGATCCCCTCAGAGGCTTGGGAGGGAAGCTGTGTGCCCGTCAGCCATATGGTTGGCGGGCCACAGCTTCCATCCTAAGCCTCTGCAGGGATCCCTCTCCTCCCGCGGAGGCTTGGGAGGCTTTCCTTCTCCCCACTTTTTTCTCCCCCTCCCCAAGCAGCACAGGCCCCTTTTCCAGCCTCCTCCTCTCTATCCCTTTTGCCCAAACTCCTCAGCCAACACCTGCAATTTCTCCCCTTCGTTGATGCCTCTCCTTTGAACTCTACCATGACTCTCCACTCACGGCAACCTACCTCCTTTCCCGCTTCCCCCTCCTCTCCGTCCTCTTCCTCCCCTTTCTCAGAAGCTGCCTCTTCTCGCCATCCTCCAGCCAACATTCCCAGAGCCATCAGGGGAAAGGGGAGTCCATTGGCAAAGCCTCTCTCAAAGAGAGCAGCCCAGGAGTGTGGGGCAACAGCGCACAGCTTGCCCACCACTCCCAAACCTTCCCAGGGGAAAGGAGAGGCCGTCGGCAACCCAGGAGGGTGTGGCAACGGCGCACACTGCACTCGGGTCATTCAGCTCCAGGGACCACACATTTGCTCCATAAGACGCACAGACATTTCCCCTTACTTTTTAGGAAGAAAAAAGTGTGTCTTATGGAGCGAAAAATACAGTATCTGGGGCAATGCTAATTACATAAAAGGCTCAACTTTTTATATATTATTTCTTGCCCTGACATTAACCATAATAAACAGGTCAAATTACAACAGGCAAATACGATATGGTAAGTTCATTATGTGGCCGAGATGATAAGTGCAACTTATTCTCTCACCAACTTTAATTAGAGGGTAATATGGCGTAGAGTCAGGAATAAATTTAATATGTAAGTTCAAAAACCAGAGTACCTGAGTTTATTTCAACATTATACTGTACAGTTACGAAAAATTAACAAAGGTAAAACTTTATCACTATATAAAGCATTATGGACTCAAAAGCTTATAAAGAGAGTGATTGTTCCAATTATGTTATTTACTGAGATAGTTACCAAGAAAATTTTGAAATTTCAGCCTACATTTCACTTCCAATTATATGGATTCTGTAAAACAGTTTTGAAAATATTTTCATCTACTGCCAACACCTTTCTTCAAAGCCCAAAGCATAACTTGCTCATTTCTTCACATAATCCTGCCACACATTTGTTATTCTGTAGTACATGTAAAAAAGAGGGGTAAAATGAAGATAATGATCAAGGAATTAGCTAGTTTTGCATTTGTTTTTTCTTGATGGTCTTTCCTGAAGCATCTTTTTCCAAGGTCTAAGCTTAATAAAAGAGGACAGGTTTCTAGCCAAAGATATGACACTGGGGGTTAGGTACACTAGATGAAATACAGCCTTCAATATTAAAATAGGGAAAAGGCCAAACTATTTCTTCCTGTATGTAGTTAAAGGTTTGCAGCTAACAGGTTTGTAAACAGTTCAAAAGAAAAGAGCCTTGAAATATCAAAAGTCCACCACGCAGTTGTCATTCCTTTCCTTGCTGTATTGTAGTTTAAGAGTATAATCTTCCCTTCTGTCATTGCAGTCTCATCCGTTTCTCTGGCGGTCCTTTGGTGCTGGTGCTCTGTTGGATGATCTTAGCTGTGTCCTTCTCCTCTTGTTTTGTAGCTTCAGGGGTTGGCTCTGGCTCCTTCTTGATCTGATCCACTGGAAAAATAAAACCAAGAAAATCTAATTCTAACAGCTTTATATATCTGATTCTTCTGTAAGATTGTTTTCTATTGCAAAACTGCCAGAATAAAGCAGTAACTTGAATTGCTGCATTCAGATTTTCTATTCATACTACAGAATCAGTTTCCTGCACCCAGAATGTTTATAAATAAAGTGGTGATTTTTTAGGGTCCCAGCACAGGGAACCTCGCTCTCTCTTCCCCTACTCACTCTCTATAGTGAACATGACTTTAGACAGTGGCAATATTCCCATAAGCCTCAGCTGAAAAGAAAACTGCAATGTCTTTTGATTTAGTTCTGTTTAAAAACAATGACTGAATTCTCACCTGGAATGGGTTTTTCTCCAGACTTTTGCTGTGAAGAAGAGGAAAAAGAAAAACAGTCACTAATAAAAAAATACATGCATCTGGCTTTGGCATGATCTTGCTATTGTCCTACTAAGAACTGCTGCCCTATATAAAAAACCATTTAGTTGATTTTTTTTATTAAAAAAAATTAAGTACAGCATGTCAATTAGACAACTTCTGTGTATGTATATGCTTGTTGACACTCTCAAATAATAGGTTTTTAAGGCAGAACTTAATCTTGCAGAAGCCAAATCTATAGCCTTGTGCAATGGCTTTCATTACACAAGAGATTTCCAAATTACATATTTGCACAGGAAAGTCAAATTATATCACTTTTAATAATCACACTTTTAAAAATCAAGTAACACATGAAACCAGCTAACAAGAGATGCCCCCGGGTATAGGGCAGTATATAAATTCATTAAATAAATAGGTTGAAGATGCCAACCATAACAGATGCCAACCTTTAGGCTTGAATGACAGCTCTAACACCTACAGTACATAACCTTAATACATCCAATTGATGTACAGTGGTACCTCTGGTTATGAACTTAATTCGTTCCGAAGGTCCATTCTTAACCTGAAACAGTTCTTAACCTGAGGTACCACTTTAGCTAATGGGGCCTCCTGCTGCTGCCAGCGCACAATCCTGAGGTAAAGTTCTTAACCCGAGGTACTACTTCCAGGTTAGCGGAGTCTGTAACCTGAGGTATTTGTAACCCAAGGTGTTTGTAACCCGAGGTACCACTGTATTATCAGTTAAAGTGTTAGCCCAACTAATACCTGCACAAACTTCGGGGGAAATTTTTGCCTCAGATCTAGGAGTAATGCATCTACACGTTGTCTCTGGAAAATGGAACTTGGTTCTTCCTTTTTTTTGGCTTTGGGTTTGGCTTTATCTGAAAATAATTTAGAGATTGTAATGAAGCATCCCATCAGAACATAAACTTTTAACTTTCTTTTATCTGTCCATTCTTCATTTACAAAATAAAGCTTCTTGTCTTCTTTGGTTGGTTAGTTTTGCAGCAGAAGTTAACATTTAATTTTCTACAACTTTCCAGAAAGGTTTCTCCCTTCTGGGTTCCCTAAGCTCCTTCAATTGATTTGGTATCCCTGCAGAATTAAATTAATGTAAGCTTTCACTTCCACCAACAGTGCCCCATCCTACATGCCCAGACACCTAAAATGACACTGTGTTGACACCATTACTTTTCTGGAATGTTTTAACTCTTTCCAACTCCTGTGGTACATTCATTCATTCATTCATTCATTCATTTTTAAACCAGCAGAACAGACAGGCATTTCAGAGAAGTCAACACACCAAGCCCAAGCCCACAATTTCTATCAAAGGAGAAAGAGCATGTATTTTAAAGCCTAGAATGCTACCTCGTTCCTCTTGATCTTTGAAATGCCACCAATAGCCTTTCGAAGGGTGATACCGGCAGTAGGACATGGCTTCTTCAAAAGCTGACTGGATTCCATGTACTGCACTGAGCTTGAAAAAAATAAGTTTGTAACAAGATACATGATTTCCCACATTGTGCTATATTTTAGCCAGCCAACTCACAAAATAAATGCCATTATACATAGGTAGTCCAGTACTCTGAGTTTGGGGTGGAATCTCCCTGTACCTTCATGCACAGAGGCTGGAAGATTGGGAGGGGGATTGAATAATACCATTGAGCCAGATCTTTCACTTAGGAGGTGGGAACACATGGAGTAAATGCAAGGTAGTCTGCACATGCTCAGAAGTAATTTCTCTACTACATATACATCTTCAGGGATCAAATATCTCCATCTTCTGAAGTTAGGTAGTTGGTAACCATTAAGGGGGCCTTCTGAGATGTGGTACCCCACTTTGGGAACACTCCCTCTAAGGGGGGGAAACCTATTCTGATACAGGGCATATTCAACCTTAAACTTAAGAACAAGGCACCATTCAAAAGTCAACAGTCCAGAACAACAGTAAATCTTCTTACTTCCTACAACACATACATTTTTCACAAAAGGTGGAGATCCTTTTTTCACACATTTTGCCCCCAAACCTGAGGACAAACAAGGGGAAAAAACCCCAAAGCACTTGCATTGCTAATACCTTCATTATAAGAATACAGGACAGAGACTTACCACTCTGGAGTTTACAACTGACCCCAAGTCAGGGGCCTGATAAATCACTCCAGCAATAATGTAATAATCAGCCAGTGGGGTAACTATAAAAGAAAAGCACAACATTAGTCCAGCTACCAAAACACTAGATGAACAACTGTCATTGCAAGTGTCTTTGGTACATCGGTCATGGGACATTCAAGCCTACTATCCAAAATCAAGCAGAGTGCCTAATTTCTCTCATATGTGGATCACACACACATGGCCCAGTAGGGCTCAGTTTGTGGGGGCTCAGTCTTCTTCCACTTTTTTTACTTTTGAAGCAAGTATTGGGGAGAAAAACTCAATGGTTAGAACAAATCTCAACCCATGATTAAAACATGAAGAAAGCTGGGGGGGATTGAATGCCTTTCTCCTCATGCTTTATTGCCAGCCCAACACTTGAGCAAAATAACATGGAAAAGAAAACATTTTGAGACTGTACAGTAATACCTCCATGAATGTCCGCCTTGTCTAGCGTCCATTCTGGCAAACGTCCGCGGCAAACCCGGAATTACCGGAACGGGTTACTTCTGGGTTTGCAAGTTGCGCATGCGCAGAAGCGCTAAATCGCACTTTGCACATGCACAGAAGTGCAAATTGTTCTGTGCACGTGCGCAGGCACGGCGCTTTGCCCTGCGTCTTTTTGGCTAGCGGCAGAGCTTCCGGAATGCATCCTGGCTGCAAAACAAGGTACGACTGTACAGGCAAGCCTCAACCTGAGCCGTATATCAAGAACAAGGGAGAGGAGTATTCCTCCCTGTGTTTAGTGTGTGTGTCCCTCCCATTTTTTTAAAGGAAAACATCCACCTACGGTAGCCCTCTGCTATGCTTTCATCACATACCCGTCCATGTTAATATTGTCTCCAAGATCTCCTACATGGTGAAGATACATGGTGTCTTTTCATGCCTTTACCTTTTTATTAAAATACCTTTTTATTTTCCCTAGACCTTTAAAAAATCTACTTTTTTTAGTCTGCTCTTGGCAATATTGCCATGCTGCATTTTGCTTTTGTTCTTTTATCCTTGTTACTTATGGGTATTTTTATTATTTCTTTTATTATGCAATTGCACTATCCCCTGCCCTAAGAGAATTTTTAAACAGAAGGTACAAGCTGTAAAACTATAGAAAAAAATGAAAAAAATGAAATGACTGCTTAATGGTTTCAAACATTATGTTCCTACAGGACTGCTTTGTGTGCATGTAGTCCTTATTGTAAGTTCTTTTTTTAAAATCTTGTTACTTTTCTTACATTTTTCTGAACACCTGGGGAGTCTTTAAATGAAACATGCAAATGTTCACTAAGAAAAGGAAAAGAAACCTGCATCTGTGTCTGGATCTTATCCCTGCAGACTACAGACCTTCAGGTTTGTTTATATCTGAGAGTGTGCACTTGTAAAATGAATTTTAATGTTATTTTATATCTGGCTTTTACTTTCACTCAGTCACAGTATATGAGATGGGAAATTGCTGCTGTACTGCTCTCCAGGCTGCACTTGTTTACACTGAAATGCATTTGCCATTTTACTGCCCATTCGCTCAGCTTGGAGAGGTCCTTTTGGAGCTCTCTGAATTCCCTTTCTGTTTTAATGACCTTAAGCTGTTTTGTACCATCAGCAACCTGGCCTCCTCACTGCTCACCCTAACTCTGGGTCATTCATAAACAACTTAAGAAGTTTAGATTCCAATACTGATTCTTGGGGGACTCTACTTTCTAGATGTCTTCATTCAGAGAACTGTCCATTCTTCTCTGCTTCCTGCACCTTAACCAATTCCTGATCCACAAGAAGTCCTTTCCTCTTATTCCATGGGAGCTAAGCTTACTCAGGAGTCTTGGGTGAGGTATTTTGTTAAAACTTTTTGAAAGTCCAAATGCACTGTGTCAACTGGATCACATCTATCTATATGCTTGCTGACACGCTCAAAGAACTCTAATGCATTAGTGAAACAGAACTTACTCTTCCAAAAAATTATTAATGATATTTTACAGCTGCATTCAGAAGTTGTTCTGTTTGTTGTCACATCACCTGGTTTTTATTTATAATTATATATTGAGTTATATACTGCAGGTTTTGTTTTTAAGATTGACTATGCAGTGGCTTATTGCTCAGTGGGGAGGAATTACTCCTCTTTACATACAGAGATTATACATGACAAGCAATACATAGTTATAACAAGTCATCAACACTGCTAAAAACATAGGACTGCAAATAGGCATGTTTTTACCAGCACTATTTGCCTTTTGCCACAAGAGGGCATTCTTTTACTATTTCAAAAAGGAAATTAGACCATAAAGCAAAATTCAGGAAGAAAATGTAACTGCAACATGAATTCTGGGAGCTAACATTTCTGCCTATGCTTCTGTGAACAGGAAAACAAAAGCAGGTGGAGCATTCAGAAGTATGCATAGGCTATGATCCTTTCCTGTGTGGGCACAGCACTAAACACAGGATTCTCATTTCTGTCCATCCCTCTGCCCCCCCAAAAAGCCACAAGCTGATATGAGGAATTGGAGGTGGAATATGCACCTTCTGTATGCCCAGATTCCTCCCCGTTTGCTCAAGATATGAGAGCTTCACTTGATCAAGCAGAACAGAAAGCCTGGATGGGGATATGCAGAGACCTCTTGTTCTTCAAAAACAACAAATCCTGTATGTGCACTGAGGGGAGGTTGGAGAACATAGATTTGCTTAGCCCTGTGAAGATTCCTCTGTATGTGAGCACTGCATCTGCACAGGGAAGCAACGTACCCATCCTTTTTTTGTTTTGTTATTTGTTTCCATCTTGTCCTCCACAAAATACTGTGCAAATCCTTACCATGCGTCGGACTCTGTCTTTGCTGCTTACGAATAATGAAGAGAATTGGCTCTTGTGCATGTAAAAGGATATATTCCACTCCAACCATTTGACTGAAAGAATAAAGACAAGACTGAACAAGGAGATAAGACCACTATTTATTGTAGAGGCTAAAGAAGCCAACTGAAAGTACAAGTCTCCCGCTGACTGATCACACCTATAGAATCATAGTATTACAGAATTAGGAGAGACCCAAAGGGTCATCTAGTGCACACTTCCAAGTGTGCCCCTCTTGGACCAAATCATGTAATAACTTGTCCTAGATCCTAGTAATTTTCTGACAGTCACCTGATGGATCTATTTGCTCTAAATCTATCGGGTTTCATACTGCTGTCCTTAATAAATTTGTCACCAGCTGGACTCCCACCAAATTCACCGATAGCTTAACATCACCATAGGTAAAGGGACCCCTGACCGTTAGGTCCGGTCGCAGATGACTGGGGTTGCGGCGCTCATCTCGCTTTACTGGCTGAGGGAGCCAGGGTACAGGTTCCGGGTCATGTGGCCAGCATGACTAAGCCGCTTCTGGTGAACCAGAGCAGCGCACGGAAACGCCATTTACCTTCCCGCCGGAGCGGTACCTATTTATCTACTTGCACTTCGTGCTTCAGAACTGCTAGGTTGGCAGGAGCAGGGACCAAGCAACAGGAGCTCACCCCATCGCGGGGATTCAAACCGCCGACCTTCTGATCTGCAAGCCCTAGGCTCTGTGGTTTAACCCACAGAACCATAGGATGATTTAAAATCAAGTGTTCATATTTGGATTTGATTAGTGTGGTTATTGGGTTCTGAATCTCTGCAGGTTTGGAAGTGCAACACTATAAAGGATCGCAGCCACAAATTGTACTAACAAGGACTTCATTAGGAAATTTCAGAATATTCAAAAATAAAAGAGTTATCTTATTGTACAGCATTTTCAGAGCAAATAGAAATAAAAGACAAAGGAGATTTCAAGGTAACTGCTTACTAATGAGACCACTTAAATTACTGTCTAGGCTCTTTATCCAATGTAAAAAAAGAAACAGTGCTTGCTTCCTTGGGCTCATTAGTATGTCTTTCCCAATAAATATATTTGTTCATTGTTTATTTTGAATATACTTAATAAAGCTATCCTTTAACAGCAATAGAAAAAATTATCTGAAACAGTTATGATGTTGTTCATCTTGAAATGAATTTTAATTTAACATTAATTAAAGCAATCTTTTATAGCTCCAACTTTAGTTGATGTTAAAATATGCAGACAACTGTGTTGCAGAGCATTCTATAATCAACAGGAAGGTTGTCAATTTCTCATATGCATGGAACAAAATAGATTACAAATGTAAATGCTTTAATCACTTTTGACACACAGTATCTTAGTCATTCAACATCTACCATTTCAAAACAGAATAAGAAACTTTCAGTAGACCACCAGTTAACAGGCATTTCTCTAATCTTACATAAGCCAGAATCATTGAACCCATATTTCATCCATAGCATAAGACAAATTGGGTGATTGTCTTCTGCTTATAGAAAAGGGCAGGGCAAGCAGTTTAAGTGAATCAGCTGTCAAGGAAAAATAGGGACAAAGAGAGGGGGAAAGTTCTATCATCTCTGGCTTTAGCACTTCAATTGCTGGTAGTGTTTACTTTTCACAGGTGACAACTACCATTCTAAACCTTGTTTTATAACCGCAGGAGGAAACTTTTAGTCTCAACAGCCCAGACCCTCCTCTTTCCCCACTCCAGCGGGCCAGTTGTGAAAGGTGGGCTGGACTATCCTTCTGTCAATCATGTGGTGTCATAATTACATCAGGTGACTGGTGGGTGTTTAAGTCCCTTGCATAATGCTTCCAAAGCACGTGACAACCAGGTGGCTGTCGGGCACTTGGAAAGAGCTGCACTAGGAGCTTTGCCATCATTTCTCACACTCTAAGCAAAGAGCTAGCAAAACGCTTCACACAGCAGTTTCCAATCACGCATCAGCCAGTTGGTTGTCAGGAAACTGGAAACTGCTTGAGAACAGGGCTTGCAGGCAATGCCAACTAACATATATATGAAGAGAGCTGTAGCACTTGGCCATGGTGTCCCTGAAACAAATAGGACCAAATAGGGAGACCTGCTGGGATGAATCAGGTCTGTAAGGCTGAACATTCCCTATTCCTGTTTTATAGGATTACTTTACCAATGTCTAGCAGTAACTTACTTTAGGTGATCCAGCGATAGCCTTTGCATTTTGACCATTTCATTGTTGCACGTTCGATCATAGAATGGGTTGCTACGCTCTGAGAAATAATCCAACACACTTCCACTGTTTAATATTGGAATCCAAGCACTATCAACCCAGGAAATTCCCAAGAGGTTATCTGGAGGAGAAAGAGAAATGAATGGTTAGCACAAGTATAGTTACAATAGCGATAGTCTTCATCAGTGTGAGAGATTGTGTCTCACTGGTCAGCTACTGCCCACCTTAAGCCGGGCAGCCCTGGTCAATAAAATGCTGGTCCACCACTATCCACCTGCTTCAATGGGTGCTTGGAGCTCAGAGTATGGCAGGATCCCCAAGGACCTGCTCTATGGGGAACTGGTTTCAAGCACCAGGAAGTTGGCAGACTTTCTCTAAAGGGTAGTCAATCTCTCAACTTTGTACAAAACTTTTGTTGTTGCTGTTGTTTGTTGAATTTGTATACCGCCCTATACCTGGAAGTCTCAAGAAGGGACGAAGCACGCAAGTTTTAAAGGTGAAACAGTTATTTTTAAAATGTAATGTAGAAAGTAAGGTTTGAGGAAGCACTAAATTAATATGCAGAACATGTCCTCTGTGCTGGCTTTGATATGGGGTTTGCAGCAAGGCAAGTGTAGCGATACTTCTCAATGCTTAAGAAAGTGGATGAAGAAAGTTTGGAGCCAAAGCACAACCATTTTAAACCACAGTGGGAATCACAGAAGTTCCACTTGACTTCCAATCAGTGTTAGAAACTGAGATATGAAAGCTAGGCGCTAAATGGCACCTTAAACCTACGTTATGGGCCCAACAATGGAATATCTAGGCACATATTTTTATAACTGGAATACAAAGCTGAAAATGAATGAACTGAAGCTAAAATCTTAAATTCATTTTTCACATGGTCTAGTCCTCATCTGAAGGCTGCAAAAAACAAAGCCATGCTTCCCCTGCCTGCCCTCCTAATATTCTTAAGAGGGTCTCTTCTCCAGTCTTCAGAGAGTAGCTTCAAGTGGGGAAGCAGAAAAAGGTCCTCCTTTCCTTCCACTGTGCAGTTTTAATCTGAAATATTAGGTGCAGTACTGCACCCAGAGCTCAGAAACTGCTTGCTCTAATGAAATTCTTTTTCGCAAAAAGCACCTAGAACAATGGGAGTTTCCAACACTGCTTCCAATGCAGGATATGAATCCATAGTGCAAGATAAAAGGGTATGCAGAAGTGTCAGAAATGATGCAGGAACATACAGTAATATGTTTCCACCAATACTACATGCAAACCCAGGACTGCCACTGCAACTATTCTAAGGTGCATGTCTGACTGGAGAGGAAGTTTGAGTGAACACAGATTGATTGCACAGTCACAAAAACAAATTGGTTGCAAGAGAGCTCCTGAGATGAGATGAGCACAGATTGATTGCACAGTCACCAAATAAGCCCAAATATCACCTCCGTGTTGCGTGGGTGCTCAGGACTCAACAGTTGACAGCTAGGCCTCAGGATCTTGCACTCAGCCGAAGCCGTGTGGCATGTTCAACTTCTGAGGTGTGTTTGAAAACTGAAGCATTTACTTCCAGGTGTACAGCGTTCGTAAACCGAAATGTTCATCAACGGAGACGTTCGAAAACCGAAGTACCACTTTACATTGTTTCAGCAATCTTATAGAAAGCATATCTAGATGCTTAGGAAACCATGATTAATGCAGCATAAATAGGGCTATGAATAATACATATGCTGCATCAACAATATGCTGCTCAAACTCTTGCATAAAGCAGAGGCAAGCAAAGAGATGGTCTTATTATTATGTAAATGTGTCTTGCTCCATTCTACTGCTATAGAGAAAGGTTTCTCTCAATGCAGCAATTTACCTTCTTTCATAAAAGCAGATTAAAATGTGGGAATTAATGAAACCACAGATGCCACAGATTCAGCAATACCTATCCTCAATATTTTTTTAGTATATCTGTTCACTGTGGGCTTCTACCCATACAGTGGTACCTGGGGGTTAAGTACTTAATTCGTTCCGGAGGTATGTACTTAACCTGAAACTGTTCTTAACCTGAAGCACCACTTTAGCTAATCCTGCTGCTGCTGCGCCGCTGGAGCACAATTTCTGTTCTCATCCTGAAGCAAAGTTCTTAGCCTGAAGCACTATTTCTGGGTTAGCGGAGTCTGTAACCTGAAGCGTATGTAACCTGAAGCGTATGTAACCCGAGGTACCACTGTAGTACAAACTAAAATACAGGAACACTTCAAAAAGTCACTCCTTTATCTTCAAGTGCAATACAAGACAGGGGAAAGCATTCCCACATTAGGGAATATCAGTGGAAACAATGGAACCTTTCCTGTGAAATTAATTAATAAAATAGGAATCTGCCTGCAGTGGAAAATATCCACCTATACAGCACGGCACGAAGCCACTGCCATATGCTGATTTCGCAGGCGTAGAGGTTCAGCAACATATTAGCATGACACCTGCAAAAATCAGTGTCAAACAGAATGACTTGAAAAGACTAGCTTTGACTGCTATTTCTAAATACTTCTTAAAGTAACTACAGTCGTACCTCTGGTTGCCAACGGGATCCATTTCTTAGGCCCGTTCACAACCTGAAAAGAATGCAACCCACGTCTGCACACACGCGGGTCATGATTCACCGCTTCTGCGCATGATGTCATTTTGTGTATCTGCGCATGTGCGAGCGCCGAAACCTGGAAGTAACCCTTTCCAGTACTTCCGGGTTGCCGCAGGACGCAACCTGTAAACGCTCAACCTGAAGCAAACGTAACATGAGGTATGACTGTACAGTCATACCTCGGGTTGAAGTAGCTTCGGGATGAATATTTTCGGGTTGCGCTCTGCGGCGACCCGGAAGTAACGGAATTTCGCTGCTCGCGTATGTGCAGCCGCTCAAAATGACGTCACGCGCGTGCACGGAGGCGGCAAAAACGCGAGCTGCGCACGTGCAGTCGCGTCTTACATTTACTTCAGGGTGTGAACGGGACTCCGGAACGGATCCCGTTCATATCCAGAGGTACCACTGTATAGCCAACTCAAAATGACTAAGAAATCCTAATCAATACAATCGTACCTTGGATCCTGAACGCCTTGCAAGTTGAACGTTTTGGCTCCCAAACGCCGCAAATCCAGAAGTGAGTCTTCTGGTTTGCAAATGTTCTTTGGAACCCAAAAGTCTGCCATGGCTTCCGAGTGGATGCAGGAGCTTCCTGCACCCAATCAGAAGCAGCACCTTGGTTTCCAGACATTTTGGAAGTTGAACAGACTTCTGGAACAGATTCTGTTTGACTTCCAAGGTACGAATGTAATCATTCTCTTCTTCTTTGAGGTGTCAGAAATTCAGTTTTAATCATTTCAAAAATAAACATTAAGCTTAATGCCTCAAAGTTGTCTGCACTTCAGGTTATTCTTATAACAAAAAATGATGCAAAATGGGAACATGCCATCCCACCCCACTGGTGTCCCACCCAGTGTTAGAAAATCAGATATATAAGCTAATCGCCAAATGGTACCTTAAACCCGAGTTGTGACTGCCACAATGGTATGTTTAGGTGCCATCCCCCGCCCCTCGTGGAGATGATGATTCATTTCATTTCTATACAGCTTTATATTTTTTAAAAAATCTCAAAGTAGTTTACAACACACTAAAACACTTTTTAAAAATCCAGAACAAAAACAAATTCAAGCTTCAAGGAAAGTATTTCAGATCCTTCTCTAAGTGACATTTTGCTTTCCCCATATTTATTTGCCTACTTAATTTATATTCCTGCCCCAAAGCAGAAGCACTCTAGGAAGCCAGTGTGGTGTTGTGGTTAGAGTGTTAGACTAGGATCTGGGAGATCAGGGTTCAAAGCCCCACTCGGTCATGAAGCTCACTGGGTGACCTTGGGCCAGTCACAGCCTCTTAACCTACCTCACAGGGTTCTTGTAGGTATTAACTGAGGAGCAGGGGAAACCATGTATTCCTTGGCAGGGGGGGAGGTGGGATATAAATGTAATAAATAAGCTCTTTTGATTACCTGCGTAAGAAAGGGGAGGCAGTCAAATGGAGATGTCAGTTGCCAACTTGGCATCCAGATATCTCCACATGGTCATAATTGGACCCGCACTAGTCGCAAATGGATATTAATAATAACAATAAATCTCATGGGGGGGGGGAATGGTACCTAGACACTCTGTTGCGGCAACCATAACCTAGGTTTAAGGTGCTATTCGGCAATTAACTTATATATCTGAGTTTATAACACTGCAGGCAACATGCCACTCTAGGTAGAATCTCAAGGATATATATAGTCCTCATGTAATGAAATAAAACTGAGAAGAGTACAAACCCAGAAATCCTTTCTGATTCAGTTTCAGTCTTTTTTTGAAGTCATCTGAACCTGGTGACTATTGCCGCAGTGTGGAGTAGTGAACACGTTATTCGCTATGAAAGACCTGTTTCTTTTGAATTTGTCCTGAACCTCCTGGCAATTTCATTAGGTGATCCCAAGTTGTAATGTTATTAGCGTCTTTCCTTTCCTTGTTTTATCTACTCTCTAGACAACAGAATAATGTTTATAATTTCAAAAGCCCCAAAGCCACTAATATCGCTTCTAATCTCAGCCGCAGATCGGCGCAATGTTACAATGTCTTTGGGCGCAGGACTTATTGGGAGTCTTATTTAAAAAAACGACAACGACACTTGATTCCACTGCGTCTTTAAAAATAAATAAATAACTGGAATTACTTTTATTCTGCGACTCCCACAAAGGTTTCGTCCACTCCCTCCTTTCCAGTCCTATGGAGACGACAGACGCCTGTCGACCCTGCTTTCTGCATCTGCCTCAGGGGCCCTGGCGGACATGGATGGCAAAATGGAGACACACGGGGCGGGAAGGGAGCCGGGAGTCAGTGGCCTGTCCTTAAACAAGGTGCCTAAGCAGATACAGTAAAGCAAAAGAATCCAGTCTCCATTACCTCGTATGTCCACCGCCGCCATGGTTTCAGCGCCGCGCGTCGCATCCGCCCCGGCGCAATGCTATGACCTCACCGCACCATAGAGAGAAGTTGCCTAGGATGCCGAGCCTCGGAGATGAGGAGAAGCGAATGGCTAGAGCGGCGACGAGAGAGCCGAGCGGGGAGTATGCGTAGTTGTTCCTTCAGCGACTGGAGGACTAAGGCGGTTGTATTTTGGGGTTCCAGAAGGGTTGCGCACCCATGATGGGCGCTAAAAAGCAAAGGGGGTGAAATATAACTTTAGGAGTGAAAAGTAAAGGGTGTCTTTTTAAGGATTTACATAAAAAAGGTCTAAGGATGCGATTCTAGCTCCACACACGGAATAAGTCCCATTGGATATCAATAGGATTTGCCTCTTGAGTCGACGTGGTTAGGATTGCGCTGAAAAGTAAATCACATACACACACCAGCGCTTCAAATGCAACACATATGAAGTATATAGTTGCATAGTTGGTTGCAAATCTAACCCGCCAAAAAACAAAAGGCTAACATACGCTTCTAACAGCGCATTGATTTACACTACAGAAACCAGGTTTGGGGGCATGGAAATAAGGACCAGGGGGTGATGGCGTTTCTCATGTCTGCTAAATTTCAAATATGGTACTGTTGAAGTAAAAAAAAAAAAAAAGCAGAAACTCATGAACAACAAAAATTGGCAACCTTAATTACAGAGGTGGATTGAGGGGGCACGACCGATTCGGTTGCACAGGGCACGGAGCCACAGGGATGCCACTACTACGATGAATGAAAGGTGGGGCTGAAATTTGAGGCCCCAAGGTCTGCCACTCTAACTACAAGCTATTTAATCTTGAGCCCAATACTCTACAAAAATGTGCTATGGAGCCCATTGAAATCATGCCTCCTAAACTAGTTGGCTGGGCTTAGTTGCTTGTGATCTGACCTCTGTTCTTTTAGGGTACATTCTTGAGAGGTATTACAGTGAGATGTCTTCTCAAAAATAAGTTCCACTGAGTTAAGTTGGGTACATTCCAATATAAGTGGATATCGGACTGCAGCCTTAGAATGGATTGTCTGCTGCTTAACACCTGTAACCACTATTTTTTTCTCAAAAGTGGCACACACACTTTCCCCAGACCCGAATGCATTTCATCAAGTGTTTATAGGTTAAGGTTTCCTAATTCGTATTCATGATTATCATTCTACAGTCCAGACCCATGTTACTGAGTCAGTGTTTTTTCAGCTGTGCTTCCAGAATGGAAGGAGGTAAGCATGTGTGGCACCTGCAGAGGAACAACAAGAGGTAGGGGATTGCTCAGAATCTACATCAGAATTATTGGGTATGCAAATCACATCCAGTGCAGAGATAGGACTACTGATCTATGGTAGGCAGTGGTACAGTTAGGTAATTTCAGACTCTAGGTTTAATCATCTTGGGGGTGGGAGGAAGCTTTTTAGATGGCACTGTGTCATCTCTTACTTCTGACACCAGTGTTGCATGCCATACCAATCTCTGAGCAGCAAAAGATTCCCGGGGTCCAGGTGGTTGCCCAGGGTTCCTGTTTCCTTTTGGAAATGAGGCACAGCAGAGACTGTGGTGTCTTTATGATATATGGCTTATTTGCGCGCGTGCACACACACACACACACAAACACACAGCCTGAGCCTGTGATGGAGGGGCTCCCAGCATTACACTCTGGCTTCTTCCATACATGAAGCCTTGGATTCAAACAGACTTCAAACATGATATAAAACATTCTAAACTCTCCACTCTGTTCCATAAAGTCTCCTTTTGTCTTCTACCTGACACAAGGCTGGAAGAGAGGCCCCTCCCATTTTTATTCTGGCACAGAGCCTTTGTCCTTTGTCGCCTTTTAATGCCCATCTCCACAGCGAATTATTTCATCAGGAAGCATAACTGTCAACGTTTCCCTTTTTTTAAGGGAAATTCCCTTATTCCGAACAGGATTCCTCGCAAGAAAAGGGCAAAGTTGACAGATATGTCAGGAAGCCAGCCTGGCTTATATTTTAACATTTGCTGGGTCCAGGGGTTAAAAGATCTGGCACCTATAAGCTTATAACAATCTTATAGGCCAGCCCTGCTGAGTTTGGTGGTCGTCCTGCTAATTCTGCTCAGCAGGGCCCTGGGATTTTGTCCAAAGTCCTGTCCTAATTGCATCCCAACCCAGAAGAGGCTAATTGGAAGTAGGTATTACCATATCATTGAATTATACAGGCACAGCGGGCAAGCCCATTGGTCGGTGAATACTTTGAATTCACAGGAGCCTTTCATTATTTTTAAATTTTATTTGTCATGACAGATTGTAGTTTCCTCATGGCACATAGTTTGTATTTACTGGCATAGGAAGAATACTTAGGAATGCTGCCTTCCAAACTTCAAAAGTATTTTGTAAATCATTGACCAACAAAGCTGATAGTCTAGTTCTACTTCATGACGGCAGATGAGAATGACAAAAGGGCTGGTCATTCTCAAAAACTGTCCTATCCATGTCTACTAAGAAGTAAGTCCTGTTGAATTCAATGGGTCATGCTCTTTGGTGGAGGTGAGTAGGGATTAATCAGTGCTCATGTTTTATATTGCTTTCAAAGTGCATTGCTAGCAAAGTTTAAATTACAGGCCTCAAAAGCTACAGAAGCACCTGTAACACCTGGGCATCATGGGAAAAAACAATGTCCACCAAAGACTAATTAGAAACATCCTGGGAAGCAACACTTACTATACCTCTATGATTCTCTATGTCTGGCAACAGATCTTGGTGACTTTCTAGTTTCTGCTGATACTGATTGGAGGAAGGGGGGAAATGGTTATATCTATAGTATGTTGTCTTCTTTATTAACTTCTCTCATTCTTACCTTAAATTAAACTATACAAATGGGGGGGGGGGACTTGAGAGGAACACTCTTCTTCCCTGTATTATTTTGGCTCTCTGTCATTCTCTGTTGTGAATGGCAAGAGCACCGTATTGCAACAGAGTGGCCATATGTTACCTGCCCCAGCCCACCCATTTATCTGTAGGGATGGGAGTTGTAGTTTGACGGGCCCCAGTCTACAGCAACAGATACTAACAGTGGACTTGTGTTACAGAGTTGTTGCAAGTCATTCCCTGGTCATTTCAATAGATAATGAGTTTCAAACAACTGCAGGGTAATTTAGTGCCTATGCATAGTAGAGGCTGTCAGACAGAAGTGCATTTAGACATAAGGGAGATGTGCCAGGGTGTTTCTGCTTTTCCATCTGGTGGCCTCAAGAAACAGCAATCTGGAGATTGCTATAGTGGTCTGCACTGCAAGGCTGTCTTTGGCCATTCTCTCTCAGCCTCAGCTCCTTGTTCTCAAATGTAGAGGAATTAGACCTTTAAAAATAGGGCACAAGCATTTCAGCATGTTTTATGACTGATTTTCATTTTATGGTATGGCCTTGCTGGCTTTTATTGGTATTATGACTACTAGTTCTATGTCTTTTATTTGTTTGTATGCTTTTTTATTGTAAGCTTATTAGCAACTATACACTGCCGTGGGACTACTGAAGGGGGACTCTAGAAATTACTTAAATAAATCCCATCTCTCACAATGCCCCTCTCCCACCCCATGATCTGCAAAAGAAGATAATAATATTGGACAGTTTATTTCTAACCAGTTTAGTAAAGGGAACATACACAGCCAAGGCTTCAAAAAACAAACAAACAAACAAACAAGCAGGAAATCCTTTTCTTAATCAGGAAACCCCAGCCAGAAAGACCCAGAAATGGGACTCATAAAAGGTTCATTCAAATTTGCAATAGCAGTCCAGAGCCGGGAGATGCTACTTTAAAGGATAGTCCCCAAGATGACCTAAATGGCAGAGAAATGCAAATATATATAATATAGAAATCCTTCTCCTCACCTGCACCTGCGATTTGATGTTACTATGCATTATGTTATGTGGCTACATTATGTAGTTGTGTGTATGCAGTATATGTTATTTTAGAATATTACTTGCTTCTTAAAATAAAAGCTGATGGAAGCTGGAGCTCAACAATCTCTGGATGTTCCCATCTATGTTCTGTGGAGCAGCTAAATTGCCCCCACCCTCTGTTTAACTTTCATCTTGGTTTGTGCCCTGTTGGTCCATTTATTTCCATGGTCCTCAGGACCAGTGATATATTTTCAACGGATTTCCTAACCTTCTATGGAATGTGACAAATAAATTAATCACTTTTTCCAGAAATCTAATTTGCTCTGCCAGTTCTTTGCTTTGAAGCCTTCCTCCCTGCTGTCCTTTCATGTTATTCTTTACTAGTTCTGGTTGCCTGGTAACCCCAACCTCTATCTTTCTCTCTCACTAATTTCCTTTCCTCCTCCACCCCCTGCTCCCCTCCCTGTAATACATGATAACATTCATAGGCACTGTAATATGTTTCTTCACCATCTGCGCCTCTTTGACGCTATCTCTTCCAAGACTGCCAAGTGACCAGCATATGGAGCTCAGCCTGTTGTTTTGCTTTTGCAAGAGATTAGAAGCCGTTTAATGACCTTTTTTCCCACTGAGGGGAAGAAAAATTTACACAGCTGAGAAGGCTGAAGATTTCACCCTCATGTCTTCAAGCATCACACGACATCACCCTCATGCTTCTACTTCCAAAAGGCTGTGCCTTGCAGTTTGTAGTGAGGGCCTTTCTTCACAGCATGTTTCCCCTCTGTGTTTGCTCCCACACAGACAGCCTCCACACCAGGCGTAATAAGCATGTCCTTTGTTTTGAGTGTGCCCCTGTATATTCTATATCCATATGCACAGAAAAAGCACGGGGTCCAGGTTGTACTGGGAGAACAAGCAGCCATAGTTTGTGGCAATCTGGAGGAGAGATATTGTGTCCCTCGGCTGGATCTAGACACATCAAAGAAGCGTTTCATTTTCAATTTGTAAATTTTCAGTTGTAAATTTAAACAAGGAAAATGGGTAGATAAAAATGGGACTCCATGTTGCCATCTGGTGGCACAATGTTATAATCACACATATGATGCATGTAAATCACTTTTTCTTTACCAGTCTGGCCAAGTCCCTGGTTTCCATATAG